ACAGTAGTTATTTCTTCCTAGTTTATTTACCTTAAAATCCGTAGTAAAATTTGTATTCGGTTCAAATTAAAAAAAAACTAAATCTACTTTGTTTAAAATATTCAGATAAAGCGATAAATTCCGGTTACAGTTTTAAATATGAACTGATTTTATATTTTTTTGAGGATTAGTGAAAATATTTTAAAGTTTGGACTCGTGTTTGTGTTTATCAATAAGTATAGTGAGTTTAGCAGCGCAGGTGGCTTTAACTTAGCACTTATTGACACTTATGGAGTTCCTTCTATAACACACACACACACACACACACACACACACACGTATCACATATATATATTCATTGTGTATTCAGTATTCATTGTGTTTAGATATATATCGTTATTCTCTGTCCTAAAGATAAAAGTTGCCTCAGGGTAGATCAGAGGTGATTCAGCCAACAAGGTAAGATTGAGTAATACTGTGTGATCTATCTTATCTTATCTGGCAGCTGAGCATACCTGTCGGCCACCACCTGTTGTGACACACATTGTGGAGATAACCGCTAGATACGCCACTGTCTCTATAATAATAATATACTGTTGATATTTATTAGAGTACGGCCAAGTTATGAACTGTGTCAATCTCATCTGCTTCTTACGTCACGGCCAAAGTTTGTTTACATTTTGAGAGTTGTGAAGAAGCCACTAAATATATGTAAACAAAGAAAGACCGCGGCATACATACATACATACATACATACATACATACATACATAGCACCTAGGTAATGGTTTAGTATGCCGTACAGTGGGTGCCGGGTACATTAGCATTTTTATTATGGTTCTGTGTAAAACAATGTGACATTTAGGCTCCACTAGTACATAATTAAATTATATATGCAGATTCTATCACCAATAATTTTATCATCTTTTTAAATCACGACCGAGCCAGACCATTATGTCTGAGCCAGACCAGTATGACCGTCCCAGACCATTATGGCCGTCCCAGACCATTATGACCGTCCCAGACCATTATGGCCGGGCCAGACCATTATGACCGGCCAGACCATTATGACCGAGCCAGACCAGTATGACCGTCCCAGACCATTATTAGACCATTATGGCCGGCCATTATGGCCAGAGACCATTAGCCAGACCATTATGACCGAGCCAGGACCCAGACCATTATGACCATTATGGCCGGGCCAGACCATTATGAGACCATTATGGCCGGGCCAGACCATTATGACCGAGCCAGACCATTATGACCGAACCAGACCATTATGATCGAGGCAGATCATTATGACCGAGCCAGACCATTATGACCGAACCAGACCATTATGATCGAGGCAGACCATTATGACCGAGCCAGACCATTTTTACCTGATTGGCCGTGACAATATTTTAGCCAATTTACACCTGTTTGCCCTCACCTTGGCGGCCACTTAACGTGATACAAGATCTGTTATATAATTCATCTCTTAAAGCATGAATTAATGATAATCTTGGTGAGATATATCATGTTTGATCCCTGAACACCTGATGGCTGACACTGACAGCTGACACCGATGGCTGATACTGATGGCTGACACTGATGGCTGACACTGATGGCTGATACTGATGCCAGGTTGTGTCAAAATCTTCCTCCTCTGCTGTCATATCAATAAGGTATAACATGACAGTAATATCGCCCCCCCCCCCGGAGAATCTTAACACGTGATCATAAACCGGACCTGTACAGTACCTGGACGTGTACCTGTACCTGTATCCACACCTGTACCTCTACCTACATCTGTACTTGCACTTGTACCAATATATGTACCCACACTTGTACCCGCAACTGTACCCGCACCTGTACCTGTGCCCACACCTGTACCCGCACCTGTACCTGTGTCCACACGTGTACTCGCACCTGTACCCGTACCTGTGCCCACACCTGTACCCGCACCTGTATCTGTGGCCACACCTGCACCCAACCTGTACCTGCACCTGTGCCCACACCTGTACCCGCACCTGTACCCGCACCTGTACCTGTGTCCACACGTACCCTCACCTGTACCTGCACCTGTACCTGCACCTGTACCCGCACCTACCTGTGGCCACACCTGTACCCGCACCTGTACCTGCACCTGTACCCGCACCTGTACCTGTGGCCACACCTGTACCCGCACCTGTACCCGTACCTGTGCCCACACCTGTACCCTCACCTGTACTCGCACCTGTACCTCTTTTTAATTGCTAAATGAAATACAATACAGCAGTGGACGTGACTGAGGGCTCGGCCGCCTCGTTTAAACTCCTGTTATGGTTAATATTTTTATCATTGTAATGTAAAAAAATATATGAAAAAACCAGACACGTTCACACTGTTGAAATATATGACACACACACACACATTACATGGCTGTGTGTGTGTGTGTGTGTGTGTGTGTGTGTGTGTGTGTGTGTGTGTGTGTGTGTGTGTGTGTGTATCACTTACATCAGTGATCCTAACCCCTTCCTCTCTCTTCTTTCTTCCTCTTCCTCCTCTTATCCCCCTCCTTCCTCCTCTTTCTGCTCCCCCTATTTCCTCTTCCTGTCCCCCTTCTTCTTTACTCCTCCACCTCCTCCTTCCCTCCCCTCACCTCTTCCTGTCCTCTTCTTCCACTCCTGTTACCCTCTGCCCTCCCTCCCTCCCCTACCTTCCCCTACCCTCTTCCCGTCTCTTCACCGTCACGGCCGTCCTAACTTGTCGTCAAACTCTCATAAAGTCTCCACAAAAGAGACAAACTGTGTCATCATTTTTTTCTCATCCAGGGAACCCACACAGTAGGAAACTTTGCCGTTATTTAAAGACAATGATGACGAATTAAAAAACCCATAGAAGAACACTAAGCTGTTTTATGAGTTAAATGTTGTTATTAAGTTACTTTGTCGTTATATTTGTCCTTGTAATATGTACAGATGTGTTCTATATTCCCTGGACATATATAGCGACATCTGGTAACCTATATAAGAATTAATATAAGATTTTTCGATATGTTCTTTATTTTTTCTATCTATTATAGACTGTTTTGTTCTGCCCCATATAGTCTCATATAAGCTATAGCGAAGAGAGACATTTATTGACTATAAACCAAAGCTATATATAAGGTTGATATAGCTATGAGATATTGTCAAGTGTCCAGAGAGTTATAGTTGAACGTCTGTGAACACTGTCACCCGCGACCTGGTGGTGTTAGTTCAATGTATAGTTTATTACCCATGTATATGTGTATTTTATAGTGTGTATATGTGTATTTTATAGTGTGTATATGTGTAGTTTTGTAGGTATTTTATATGTATACACGCTATCATGTGGGAATATACTGAAGTTGATAATTATACATAAACATACATACATACATACATACATACATACAGACTTACGAATACACACAAGTACTTATATACACGGACACATACTGTACATAAATACGCTCACACACACACACACACACACACACACACACACACACACACACTGTCATTGTAGTGATCGCCAAATGATGGGCATTTTTATTTCTCGTTCTAGTATCTACTTCCTGTTACCCCAGCAAGTTAATCTGTCAACTCGGTGAATGTATACACACACAAATTCAGACAAACACACAGAAGGACTCACAAACACATTTAACGTCATCACACACACACACACACACACACACACACACACACACACACTGTTAGTGATCGCCAAATGATGGGCATTTTTATTTCTCGTTCTAGTATCTACTTCCTGTTACCCCAGCTGTCTCTCTCTCTCTCGTCTAAGTTAATCTGTCAACACGGTGAATATATACACAAACAAATTCAGACAAACACACAGAAGGACTCACAAACACACTTAAACGTACACACACACACACAGAAACGCTCACAGGCACTCATGAACGTACACAAACGCACATAAACGCTCACAAAACACTCATGAACGTACACCAACACTCATGCACGTACACAAACACAGACATGTATACAGACACACAGACGCTTACAAAGACACATACACAAACACACAGAAACATACACAGACGCTCACAAACAGAGGAGTGAACCAGCATGTGAGTGAGGATGGTGCCAGTGTACTTCTCTCTTCACTCACCAGCCAATAGTTAACAAGCACAGCATTACCAGTAAGGTTTGGTTCAGCTACAGTATAGAGGCTCTCAGAGAGGTTTTCCTTTGACTAGACTTTCTGCCGACGGCGTGGTAAGATACAGCCGAGGGGTACAAAGCCGAGGCGCCACGTTGTGTATACTGTGATATTTACGGGTGGATATATTACTAGTTTATATCCTCGTGTGGATAATAATGATGTGGTGTTTGGTGGATCGTCTGTTGTATGTGTGTCAGTACCGTCTGTTGTATGTGTGTCAGTACTGTCTGTTGTTTCTATGATGACTTGTGTCTATTATCTGTCTATATGTAATTATTAGTCTGTCTATTTATCTGTCTATATAGAGGCCAGAGGGGAGGAGGTGTGGAGGCGGTGAGGAACTGTATGGCAAGTACTGTACTGTAATAGTTTATGCCATAACTATTTTGCCCTGAACTGCCGGGAATTGCCATATATATACTTATCTATGGCACCACGGCGGCCCATAGACAGACTTCGGGACAGCATAGGTGTTAGATAGTAAAGTGTGTGTGTGTGTGTGTGTGTGTGTTAAGGAACGTTGTGTGGCGTGGGTGTGTGAACGTGGTAGCTGGGGCTCAGTTGTAGACGTTTACGGGGCGAGAGGCGGCGTGTCATTGTTCCCAGCCTCGTGCGTCCCCAGCCCCGCACACCCCAACAATTAACACTTTCTCTCTCCCTACACTACATACACAACACTGGCTAGCCGGCTGTATGGCAGATGGTCTCATTATTCATCCTAGTTATTTATTGAAACTTGTAACATAACTTGTAGCTAGTTATTCCATTCATGAGGACAGAGGAGCTCGGGACGAGACCAAAATCGATATGCGTGAGAGTAGCTTCGGTCGAGACATGTTTGTGTTGAGCAGACTAGTTTGGTGAGTTTCTCCGCGGGAGACTGACGCTACTACGGTGTGCTCGTGATGGTGCTTTGTCATGACTCATGTGTAAATACTCAGTGACCCTTCTCTTGTTAACTTGTTACACTGAAACTAACAAAGGGTGGAGGCGTGCAGGAGGCCTCAGACAGGAGCGGTGTACAGCCTGGCGGGGTGGGCCCTGGCAGGAGGCTGTAGTAGTAGTGGTGGTGGCCGCAGTTCAACAGGGAGAGGGCCATCCTCACCCATGTCAACACAATGTTCAAGGGCATAAAGAAACGCTTCAACTCCTCCAGGTGAGTGTGACACTGTGGGGTGTAGAGAGTGCCACTTGGTGTTAGGGTCGAGGGAGGGCCAGTAAGGTGCCAGGCCCTCACAACAGTGCCAATAGGCCCCTTCTCCACTCTCCCTCATCCATACACTAATATTACTTCCTTGGCTCGCTCTTCTAAACAATTGATTTTACCCCCAGCACAGTCTTGTATCTCCTGTGAATATTTCCCTGTGGTGGACGAGAGCTGTGAGGTGTGTCGCAGGAGAGGGGAGGCCTACGAGAGACTCTTAATGGTGTGTGAGAGGCTTAGAGGGTGTTGTGGTGTGACAAAGGACGCCATATACTCCTTGTGTTGGCGTCGCCTCCACAAAACTTCTTCTCCTCATAATGACAGACGTGGACCACTTGTCTTACTCAGTTCAAGAGAGCGCTTGGTGGTGTAGATGGTGGTGGTGATGATTGTGGTGTTGTTGGTGGTGTTTGTGGCGGTGGTTTTTGTTGTTGGTGTTTGTGGTGGTGGTGTTTGTGGTGGTGTTGTTTGTGGTGGTGTTGTTGTTGGTGGTGATGGTGGTGGTGGTGATGATTGTGGTGTTGTTGGTGGTGTTTGTGGTGGTGGATTTTGTTGTTGGTGTTTGTGGTGGTGGTGTTTGTGGTGGTGTTGGTGGGCAGTGGTGGTGGTGGTGACGATTGGTGGTGCTGTTGGTGCCCGGTGCAGTGCGACTTGAGCTGCTGTTGGTGCTGCGTGTGGTGGTGCTGGGTGGTGGGGTGTCGTCTGCGCGGCGTCTTCAGTGATGGTGTTGTTTGTGGTGGTGCTGGTGGTGGTGGTGTTGTTTATGGTGGTGGTGTTGTTTGTGGTGGTGTTGGATGGTGGTGGTGTTGTTGGTGGCGGTGTTGTTGGTGGTGGTACCAGGCGGTGGTGTTGTTGGTGTTAAAAGTTGGTGGTGGTGGTGGTGGTGGTGTTGCTGGGGTGCCGGTGTGGTGTGGTGAGCCTGCGTGTTGCTGGCGTAGTGTTGGTGGCGGTGGTGTCGGTGGTGGTGTTGTTGGTGGTGGCGGTGTTGTTTCAGGCGGTGTTGTTGTTGAAGCGGTGCGTTGGTGGTGTCGGTGGTGGTGCTGCCTGCGCTTAAGTTGTCGTTTGCGTGTGTGCTGGTGGTGCTGGCGCGGAGTTTGTGTTGGCAGGTTGGCAAGAAAGTCGAAGCAGGTGGTAAATAAGCAGGTTGCGGTGCGTGTTGGTGGTGGTGTTTAAGCGATGGTGGTATTGGTGGTGGTTGAAGGCGGTGTTGTTTGTGGTGGTGTTGTTGGTGGTGGTGGTGTTTGTGGTGGTGGTGGCTGGTGGTGGTGGTGCTGTTGCGGTGTTGTTGGTGGCGTTGTTGCAGGTTTGCGGCGGTGCTGGTGGTGGCACGCAGGTGGTGGGCGGTGTCGTAGGTAAAGAAAAGCGTGGTGGTGTTGTTTGGTGTCGTCGGTGCAGGCGGCAGCGCCAGCGGTGGTGCTCAGGCGCAGAAGTGCGGCGCAGGTTGCTGGTGGCGGTGTTGTTGAGTGTCGGTGGCAGGTCGGTGTCGAGGCGGCGTCAAGTGCAGTGTTGCTGGCGGTGGCTAGCAGTGGCACCAGTGGATGCTGAGGAGCACCATTTGAGGTCAGCCACAGTCAGCTGACTGGGGGGCGTGTATCACAGTCTTGTACAGTTAGTGACCTCGTGTGTATTAGACTGTCTTGACATACATACATACATACATACATACATACATACATACATACATACATACATACATACAGTTATTTACATTCAATATAATCAACATACATCTTACCACTGGTTCATAGTGTACATAGACAGTTTAGATATACAAACAATAGTAATTAATGAATCGATTTGACCAGTGAGAGAGAGAGAGAGAGAGAGAGAGAGAGAGAGAGAGAGAGAGAGAGAGAGAGAGTACGTCAACTTAACCAAGAATAACATCTGATAGATAGACAGATAGACAGTAAAATTACCTTACAAGTTGGATTTTGGTTTAACATTGACAGGTTGACAGAAGCTTGACGGATGACAACAGATATGACTGAAGCTTGACTGATGACATGACAGATATGACAGTAGCTTGACATGTACAACCTAATTACCGTACTGTCAATTGTAACGAGTGATGACAGCTTGGACGATAACCTGTCAGTCACCATCCATGTTATGTCACTGTAACAACCTGTAACATTTGTAACACTGTCAATTTGTAATACATTATGACTTGTGACAGCCTTAAATGGTCTCTGTAACATTGTAATATGAACCGTCACCATACATAACACTGTGACACTGTTATATGAACCGTCACCATACATAACACACTGTAACACTGTAATATGAACCGTCACCATACATAACACACTGTAACACTGTAATATGAACCGTCACCATACATAACACTGTAACACTGTAATATGAACCGTCACCATACATAACACTGTGACACTGTTATATGAACCGTCACCATACATAACACACTGTAACACTGTAATATGAACCGTCACCATACATAACACACTGTAACACTGTAATATGAACCGTCACCATACATAACACACTGTAACACTGTAATATGAACCGTCACCATACATAACACACTGTAACACTGTAATATGAACCGTCACCATACATAACACACTGTAACACATCGTTAGTGTCTGTGAGGTGTTTTGTAACTCGCCGTGTGAGTGAGTGACCGTCCAGAATAGCTCGTGGGTTGGTTGAGTAACGCGGCCATGAATCACTGCATTTTTGACCAAGGTGAGGAAAGTGAGTGACAGTGAGAATAACAGTGACAGTAACGGCCTGGAGCTCTCATAGGGTGGATGTGTTGTGAGTGACGGCCTATAGCATCGTAAAGGAGTGAGTAACAGTAACAGTGAGAGTGACGACCTAAAGCATCGTAGAGGAGTAACAGTGAGAGTGACAGCCTATAGCATCGTAGAGGAGTGAGTAACAGTGAGAGTGATGGCCTATAGCATCGTAGAGGAGTGAGTAACAGTGACGGTGAGAGTGACGACCTATAGCATCGTAGAGGAGTGAGTAACAGTGACGGCCTATAGTATCGTAGAGGAGTGAGTAACAGTGATAGTAGCAGTGAGAGTGACGCTGTGTACTGTCTAGTTTGTTCATTTTGGGGCGAATTTTGCCTCAGTGGGACAGTTTGTAAATTTGTTCATTTTTAGGCAAGTTTGTGCATTTTGGGGGCAAGTTGTGCATTTTGGGTTACATTTTAAAGGTTGAGCAATTCAATTGTCAGCATTTTGGGGGCAAGTTGTGCATTTTTGGTCAAGTTGTGCATTTTGGCCAAGTTAATTTTTGCATAGCATTTTTGGGGTCAATTTACATTTTTTGAACGAATTTGTGATTTGGGGGCAAGTTGTGCATTTTTCGGTGAGTTTGATGCATTTTTATAGGACGGTGAGAATTGTCTTAAGTACCTCAGTCCAACTATTGAATATTATAGACTTAACCAGCACAACAATGACTCACTCCCTTGTTAACATAGATGACGTGGTGTTGTATGTGTGGAGGGGTTGTGTGTACGTACATGTGTGTGTGTGGGGAGGTTGTGTGTATCTGTGTGGGGTGTGTGTACGTACATGTGTGTGTGGGGGGTGGGGTTATGTGTATGTGTCTGGGGGTTTGTATGCTGAAAGTATATTAAGATACACACTCACACACACACCTTCAGTATAGCCTTGGCCTACCTACACCAGACTACACTACTACTACTACACTCTTGCCACACACTCTACCACCAACCACTAACTACCACTAACCAGCCTGAAGCAACCACTAAACCACCGTCACGATAAACAATCACTAACAACCATTCAGTGTCGCAACGTCTCCTCCACTGATTCACTGCCCCAGAAAAGAAGAAAAAAATTACTGAAATCTTTTAAGAAAATTGTTATTTGATTTGTCACCTCAACCCCACATTGGCGACGAGAAGCTTGGCCTGTGGGTTAAATATACCAGGTGTATACCATTATTTGTATACCTGTGTAGACTATATGTTGTATATTCTCGTAAGATATCTTGTTGCCAGGGTCGTAGTCTCAAGGGTTATTACGTTAAATTAGATGAAAAAAGCAGGTAAATTCCTCTTCAGTAAAGGTATTAAGTATGTAATTAAAGATGGCGACGAATTTACTCTTTGACTTTACTGTAACTGGCTGTATCCTCAGTAGAGTGATACCTCCATATAACGGACCCTTGATACAAAGGACTTTCATCTCTATATAGTTCGTTAGATGGGGATTTCACATCTAACGGACCCTCGATATAAAGGACTTTCATCTCAATATAGTTCGTTAGATGGGGATTTCACATCTAACGGACCCTCGATATAAAGGACTTTCATCTCTATATAGTTCGTTAAATAAAGGTTTTACCGTAACGTTAAAGAAGCACAATAGAATGAGTTTAGTTCTTAATCTCTATAACACTGTGACCCAAAAACTTACGGACGTCTGAGAATCCATCTTTGTGTCGTAACTTAAGTGCGTTGGTTAAGAGAAAAATTGAAGTTTAGAACCATTGTGACTCCACCATTGTGTTGTAGTGAACCAATTAGCAACGCTCTCATATCTCCACTACCAAGAGACACTACGAGGAGACCTTTGAGAATCCGGCTCCTGAGTGGTGTGGGTTGGTCACTGGAATAAGGGGTGTGGGAGTGAGGGTGTTGGGGGGTGTAGTGTTAGTATGCAAGTTGTGTCGTATACAGCCAACTACTCTTATTAATAATGGTGTAGTCCAGGCGGTGACTCTCTCTCTCTCTCTCTCTGTGTCTCACTCTCTCTTTCTCTCTGTCTGTCTGGCTGTTTCCTAGTCTCTCTCTCTCTCTCTCTCTCTCTCTCTCTCTCCTTCTTGGTTTATTGATTCACCAGCCCGCCGGGACCTGTGTGTGGTGATTGTAGTGATTGTGGTTATTGATAAACTACCACCATTCCGGGGAAGGGTGGTGGTGGTGGTGGTTTGTGGGACCTTGTGTA